AAAATCTGCAAATGCTTAACTTCCTTATATAAAATGGCACACCATTTGCATATAACCTATATATAACCTTCTGTATACTTCACTGGCTTATTTTTTTTATTTTTTAGAGACAGGGTCTTGCTCTGTTGCCCAGGCTGGAGTACGGTGGTGCCATGGTAGCTCACTGCAGCCTTAAACTCCTGGGCAAAAGGGATCCTCCCACCTCAGCCTCCCAAGTAGCTGGGACTATAGGCACAAACCACCAGGCCCGGCTAATTTTTAAGTTTTTTTGTGTGGAGACAGGGTCTCACAATGTTGCTCAGGCCGGTCTCAAACTCCTCGCCTCAAGCAATCCTCCAGCCTCAGCCTCCCAAGTAGCTGAAACTATGGGGTGCACTGCCATGCCCAGCCCATCTTAACCACTTTTAAGCGTACAGTACAGCAGTGTTAACTACATGTGCATTGTCGTGTAACAGATCTCTAGAACTTTTTCTCTTGAAAAACTGAAACGCTATACTCACTGAACAGCAGCTCCCTTTTCCCTCCCCGCACTCCCTGGCCACTGCCACTGTGCTCTCTGCTTCTAGGAGTTGGACCATTTTGGATACCTCACAAGTGGAAATATACAGTATTTGTGCATTAATATTTATAACTACAGGTGACCCTCAAACATGGATTTGAAATCACAGATCCTCTTATCCATGGATTTTATTCCACCTGTTACCCTGAGACAAGACCAACCCCTCCTCTTCCTCCGCCTCCTCAGCCTACTCACCGTGAAGACAGTGAGGACGAGACCTTTATGATGATTCACTTCCACTTTTGGACAGTAAACATATTTTCTCTTCCTTATGATTTTCTTAATAATATTTTCTTTACTATGTACTATGGCTTACTTTATTGTAAGAATTCAGTAAATAATACATGTAACACACAAAATCTTTGTTAATTGATTGTGTATGTTATTAATAAGGCTTCCAGTCAATCGTAGGCTATTAGTTTAAGTTTTGGGGGAGGCAAAATTATACTTGGATTTTCAACTGCATGGGGGTCAGTGCTTTGAGCCCCCATGTTGTTCAGGATCAACTGTAGTTTATTTTGCTCAGTGTAATATCCTTAGGTCTCACTCACATAACAGCATTTCTTTCTTAAAATGTTGGTTTCTAAAAACTAGAAAACAGAAGGGAAAAATCATTTTGCTGTAACACTGAGTGAAAAAGGTAAAATATTCTGGCTGTGTCTGAGTGATGCATACAAGAGAAAGCATTCCCTTCCTTTTTTTCTTGTGCAATTTAATTAGCATGCATTTTTATAATGAAAACTCTGCAATAACATGGAGATGTAATTTGTGATATAATTAGGTGGAAAAAAGCACGATTCAGAATTTTACCTACTGAATTGTACTATAAGATTATAGTTCTGCCAGGCATGGTGGCTCATATGCTCACATCTGTAATCCCTGTACTTGGGAGGCTGAGGTGAGAAGATCACTTGAGGCCAGGAGTTCAAGACCAGCCTGGGCAACATTTCAAAGCCCTGTCTCTACAAAAGAAAAAAAAATTAGCTGGGAGTGGTGGCATCTACCTGTGGTCTCAGCTATTTGGAAGGCTGAGATGGGAGGATCACTTTAGTCCAGGATTCAAGGCTGCAGTGAGCTATGATCGTGCCATAGTACTCCAGCTGGGTAACAGAATAAGGCCCAGTCTCTAAAAAAAAAAAAAAAAGAAGAAGCTAACAACAAAAAATTACAGTCCAGTTAAAAACCTACACAGAAAAATATGTAAGGAAGTGCACCAAAATATTAACAATGATTATATTAAAGTGATGGTGCTGTTGGAAAGGATTTCCTATTTATTTAAAATTTTCTGTAATCTGGATATTACTTATACAATAAGAAACCTGGAATAAAACCGTACTTACTAGCCTATTACCATGACTGATTGTGCTCTACGTAAAAACACATTTTATTTATGTATTAGAGGAAGAAAACACTTTTGCAGATTTCCCTGAGTCATGTTTTCCTGCTACTGATCATCCTGCTTTAGCATCATTTAATGTTTTTCTACCAATTACAAATAAGCAATACTCTCAGTATATGCTTTTTACAACATATTCTCCTCATTCCCCTAAATTTACCTAACTCTACTCAGAAGGTATGGCTGGACAGTAGCTATTACTAATAGGCAAAGTGCCATCAGCTCTATAACTAAATTCCAGCATCTAACATTAAAAAGATTAGAGCAGATCGATTCCATTCTCCCCTGTCTCCTAGTGCCAGGATGTGTAGGAACAATAGCAGATAAAACATTTCATATCACCAACTATTTCAAAACAAGAAAATAATGACTCCCACCCTTTCTCATTCTCTGAGAAACTTGATACAGTCAAATTACAAATGACATAAAATCCCAGGGCTCTTCTAGAGCCAAAATGATGTAGTTCAGGTACAAGTGGCTAGAAATTCCCACTTCACCAGGATGTAGATTATGTAGATCTTGTTCTAGTAACTCAAAAGCCAATTGTGAAGTTTCAAAGAAAAAAAAAATCCAATGATACTTAACCAATTAAGAATGATGAGAGACGAAGACCTGGGACCTCTGGGACACGTGGAATGCCTGGTGTGGTTTGATACTTTCCATCCACGATGAATGGTGCAGGAAATGATTCAGTAGTGTCATCACATTATTTTAACTGGTTACTAGAGAGTATCGATCACACTTTGAGATCACAGTTGTCTCAACACTATAAATTTGACATTAAACACTGATCACAGGTATTAAAAAAAAAAACCTCTTAACATTTATTTGTGGGTTTCCTCACTTAGCTAAATGCGTAGGGACTGAATACCATCTCAAATATTTTTAAATGCATGTATTGGGCCGGGTGCAGTAGCTCACGCCTGTAATCCCAATATTTGGTGGGAAGACGCAGGCGGAATGCTTGAGCTCAGGAGTTTGACACCAGCCTTGACAACATGGTGAAAACCCATCTCTTTTTTTTTTTTTTTTTTTTT